CTGTGCAGCGCTATAGCAGCGCTGTAGCGCTGCTACAGCCAGCAAAAACGCATATTGTCGAGAGGCCATCTGTGTGTTTTTGGAGGCGAGTGAACTTTGTCACCCACTTTCATCTCAGTAACCAGGAAAGTTGGGAGGCTGAAATTTCGGGTCTATGTTCCTACCCCATCTGTCATCCTTTCGTTTCAAAATTTTCGCCCATACGCGCCTAGACCCCACGTACGGACCCCCGAAAAAAATGCGCAAATTTCTTTGGCGGGAAACGATTTCGCGAACCAGGCAAATACAAGACTGGAACTTTGCAGGAATATTCTCTGTGCATGTGCAAACTAAAGATTTCAAACTCAGCTGTCGCACACGCTTGTGCAGCGCGTAAGATCACGTCAAAGTTTGCAACTTGGTATTGTGCTAACTCGAAAACTTGCCGAAAAACAGCGGCTGAAATTTAGTGAGCATGTCTGTCGCCCATGTAGAAAATCGTATACATAAAATGAGTACCGAATTGCACTTGCGCCACAACCTAGGGCACTTCAAAGATATTTGTAGCGAAGTGGATGTTTCGCTTACCGGATAAGGTGCGAGGCTGAAAATTCGCTGGACTATTCTACTTTCAAGTGCGGTCTTAATTCTGCCTGGAGATGAAATTCCGTGCAGATGGGCATGAGAAATACCCAACTTTACAGAGAAATCAGAAACGAGTGCATTTTGCAACGAACAACCACCCTCATCCTCTCCCAGTATGTAAGTGAACTCACATATCTAGATTTTTTGACGAACGACCGCTCTAGCAACATTTTCACTTTTCAGTGAATTGGAAATCTGCATTTTTTCGAAGAGTGAGTATTTGCTAGAAAAACGACCGGGTTCCTTACAAAAAACTGATAGTCATGTACTTGGAGGTCCGTGCGGCCCTATAGTGCAACATCTTCATCCCAACCGACGCCCTTTCTCCTGCATGCTGGAAGAGGCCAAAGCGCGGCCAATATGAGTACAGTTGTTAGGCTACAGCGCAGGGATCATTTCTGCTATTAGTGATCTGCAAGTTTAGTGCAAAAACGCATGATCGCACCGGCAAGCCTGGTGCGTTCCAGCCTGAGTTCTCAAAATAACAACACACTTCCAGTGTTGTTACTGACGAGGTCCATTTGCAGTGCCCACTGATGGGCTGAAACACTCTTGTTCAGGATTACAGATATTTTCTTTTTTCATTACTAACTTCTTTATTTTTATAACATTAGTATTTTCCAATTACTTCGTCTTGTAGATCACGCTGAGTTATCTTACTGACTGGAATTTTATGCTATATACGCTGATTAGTCAGTGAGCAAGCATTTCCAGCACCCTTTATTTGCTAAAGGGACTTAATCTTTCATAGAGCAGACCCCCAGAACTACCGGCCCATAACATGCCTCAATACTTGTATAAAATTTTAACAGGAGTATAAGGCTCTCATGGCACATGTCCGTACCGGCCCTTGTAAAGACCCACCGAAAGAGGGAGTCATCGATAGCTAACTAACACATGGTTGCTACTGGCATTAGCTGCCACTCGAGCTACTTCCCGAGTGCCTCCACCTATCACAGAGAGTCAATATAAGGGTTTAACTTTTATTCGCCTTCTCTAAAAAAAAAGAATTATTCGCTTCACTAAGTTCAGGTGCTTTTAACTTTACAAATAATTTTAACGAAACTGTTGCTGTTGAATTGTCCGCTTGGCATTGTGGTGATTAGCAACCAGCATGAACACACGTACCGGGCTGGCCTTCGGAGAAGTATTTGCTAAAAGCGAGTAGACTGAGGATGAGAAGTTTCGACTGTTTTCGCTTGCACAATTTCGCTTTTGTTTGCTTTTTCCGCAATTTCGTTTGCAAGAGGCCAAAATGTAGGTTGCTCCCGGTTTGGCGCCGCTTTTGATATCCTATTTTAGCTGCTTTTATTGTCAAAATGCAGCTAGCGTATTGGCCCTTTGCAGGCGGACGCAACACGGAAAAAACGACGGCATGGAAGAATCTGGTAGTGCATTGTCTGCAATGCAAGCATGCGCTCGCCTCTCACCACCAACATATCTTGCAGACGGACTGTGCAACATCTCATTCTTATCATCACTGTCCAAGCACGCAGCGTGCGCTGACAGTGTGAATGCTACAGGAGAGCGGTGGGAGAAGCCACGCACGGCTAAGAACATTCCTTCTACCATCGGTGATCATCGGCCCAAACCACTCCCCGGCTCTGCGCAGCGTCCGCGTCTGCTGACACTGATGCCTGGACACAGGCGCTGAGCATCCGTGTTCCCGAATGTCCACCCAGCACATGCGCAGATGGCATTGCCTGTGTTGTCTTCAACGTATTCAACGTATTTTCGTATATGCAAAACAAATGAGTAGAGAGATTGCAAATAGACAACGTTCACCATTTCTGTTTGTTGCGTTCCTATGGCTGCTTGTATTTGCCCTCTCGACGACGAGGGGGCAAATACAAGCAGCCGTAGGCACGCAACAAGCAGAAATGATGAACGTGCAGCCATAGGCACGCAGCAAAAGTTTTTGTGTGGCGCAGTGGTACTCCCTCCTCTCACCCTGATGGCGCTTAACATAACTCGATTTCCGCTTCCTGTACAAACACGATTCGCAACCAAGAACAACTGGAGGGACAAACATGCTATTTCGGTTACATTCCCTGGAACTAGCGGCATGCTCTGAAACACGCGCAGAAGTATTTAAAATAGACATAAGTATATAATAGATCTTAAAGTATCGGAGTAGCGCAGCGCCATAAGTGCTCCTTCCGGAGGCTTTTTTTCCAAGAGCCCCTGAAAAATTTTTAATCAGAACAACGTGGGAATCGTTGCTTTTCACGATAGCAGGAACGTTACACGAATAGTCTACCCACCCTCTTGCCTCCTCCCCTTCCTTTTGTTGGTTGATATGTTTGTCAATCTTTTTCAGGAACAGCGTCGCACAAAAGCTGACGATGGGAAACGCACAGTCGAAAGCGCTGGTTTCTGGATCGCAAGATGAAACATCAGCCACGGTATTTCGCTTGTTTTATGGTCTCCGTGATTATTTATAGGCAGTTTATTGGTCGATAGCTCGCTCGTTCAGACCGATGTCTCGTAGTTATGTCTTATCCGAGGGACGGCTTAGAGCTTTTTGCCTATTCTTGCTTAAATCAAAAGTGCAGTATATTCAGGTCATCTCGTATTTGTATAAGCATTTGCCTTGTGCGCGTATATTAAAAATCAAAACCCATTCCCTATTTCGCTTTCAGTGAGATAGGGAAAGGGTTTTCCCTACCTCACTGAAAGCGAAATAGGGAAGGAGTTTTGATTTTTAACACCAACAGCAACCACTCACTGGCAAGGTTGTCAATGGCTCCCTCTTTTGAGTGTTGCTTACAAGCAAGATAATGACGTGCTTGATCTCCCGGTATAACGTCAGAATCAATTTACCGTCAAAACGAATCGTAGAGTGATTGTTTGTCCACCGGCAGAGTCGAATCTTTGATCTATTGCACGACAACATTGCTTCCTCATTGCGCCATCCCTTTCGTGCAGGTTTGCAGAATGTTGAAATTGGAAGAAAAGTGACGTCCGAGGCGATAAAATCGGTTAATTTGGTGGGGTTCTGGAGAACGTAAGGGGAAATCGCACCATTTTGACAGTCGCTTACATCGTGGAAAATACTTTTTAATGCAGACCAGCTTTTCTCGCTGACAGCAAAACTGTTTTTGGTTATGTCTGGTCATATGCTGGACAAACATCAGACTTCCTTAATCAGACAGCTTTCTTCTATAGCATTATTTCATGTTTACTGCATAGATTCTCATATCATTCCTCGCCTTATAAATTATGGTGCCTTCTGTAGGTAAGAAAATGGTTCTTCCAATCGTCGTCGTTACATTTTAGCTGGAAGAAGCCATTCTAGTCAAGTCTTAAAGCTTTTTTCCCTGTAAATCAAGTATATGTCTGTGTGATCCCGTACTTGATGACTGTTCTTTCAGAAACAGAACTTGCTGTGAGTAGAAGATCACTGTCGCGGGCAGTTTAACCGGCAACTGTTAACTCCTGCACATTTTACTTCCTGTAAGGAGAATATCTCTGTCTGTAGCTCGAATCTGCGAAACCAGGCGCCGTAGGGGTAGCCATTATCCTGAAAATAACTTGACCTAACAACGGAGGAAGTGAAATTGCCGATTTTTCGGAATTTTCGAACTGATGAGAAGTTGCATATCATAATATTATCCACTGTCATGCCTATCTGCCTTACTACTTTGCGTCTTATCCTACCATGCTATAACCCGGCACCTTACATAATACCATGTCACGGTATATCACACAGTACCACACTACACCATATCCTACCATGCTATGCCTCGGTATATCACACAATACCGTGTCACATCCATACCACGTTATCTCGCACCACTTGATGTTATATCACACCATGTCGTTCCGTAAGAGATTAACCCCCACCCCTCTGGAACTACAGCATTCAGTACCGTTTATATCCCGCACTTTGAGGCTATCGTTAGAACTCCAGTTAGTTGGTGAGAAACAGCGATTTGTCAGGTCCCAAATCCATGTGGTTATCCAGCAACTTTTGTAACTGAGAAAGAAGAATTACGCTGCTGATGGCAGCTGTCCAGACAGGATCGAACAGAAGAGTGTTCGATCTGTTTTATGATGTTATTTATCCAGATACTGCAGTGGAATTTCTTGACAAATTATCTGAAAATATGTGTACCAAATCTTTGACAGAAGTGATTCTTCGGAAATAAAATAATTAGGAGTTGCGAACGCATGGAATGGTCGGAGAACTGGCCGCTTTTGGTTACGATTCGCAGTACGATGAAGCGGAAAGTGTTTTCCTGGATGGCATCTCTCAGGCAACTTTCAACACTTCGTTATAAATGCAGATCAGTAGTTGAATTTGTTTAAATTGGTCATGAATTTCTGCAGTATTTCGATATTCATGTCATTAGGACCAGTGCACGCTGAGCTGAGTATCAAATGCTCTTTTTACGTAAAAACGTAAAGCTTTCATTGCTGTACCAGTTTCTGAATATGCTACAAGGGGGATACCTTCAAATTTTGCTTTGCTGTCTCAGTGTTCCTCGACTTTTCTTCCAAGCTTCTTCAGTGAGTTAAAATAATTGGCCAACACACGGATGTTTTTTGCCCGTGCGAGGATGTTTTTTTTTTGCATAGTTCCCCTCCCAGATTTTTGTCGCTAACGGCACTGGTTTTTCTGGCGATGCTTCTAGCTAAAAGAATTTCAGACTGGCCGCCAGGACTGTCAAGAAACATCCCTTCAAAATCCCGGTCTTCTAGTCTCTCACTTTCCCGAGTTAGCAACCTACCCGGAAGAAACTTTCAAGGGCCCATACGTAGGTATCACGCTTACCCGCGGGCAGGGTTTGAACTCGTTAATACCTACTTGCGTAGGATTTCAGCGTTCTAGCTTCTCAGATCCCCGAGTTATGAACTTACTCGAAGAAAATTTTGGCGAGCCCGTATGCGGGTTCCACGCTTGCCCGGGAATGGGTATGAGTGCATTAATACCTAGTTGGACGGGGAACATTACCCTAAAATTTCAGCGTTCTAGCTTCTCAGATCCCCGAGTTATGGACATACTCCAAAAAAATTTTGGCGGGCCTGTGCGCGGGTACCACGCT